GTGGGTTGGGGAGAGGGGGGGGTTCACGGCCTGGAACATTTGTTTCTACATTTATGTATATATAATCGGGTGGGTAGACCTGTTGGGAGTTCCAGCCGTGAGCATACTTGTCGTTTGCATGCCCGTGTTGTCATCGTGCAACCAGATGGAGGGCGTAGGTGGGGGGGGGGGGTTGTTGGTTTCAATGGTATGTGCGGTGGTGTCTGCCTTCTTTTCTGCTTTGGGGAAAGCAGCAGAAAAAAGGGTGCCTTATTAACATCCTGGGAAATTTAGAAACTGGAGAAACATCCCGGGAAAGCAAGTTATTTGAAGTAAGAATCACAATTAAACACATTCTTCCAAAAGTTAGTTATATGTGGGAACCTCTCCTGACCATTGCGAGAACGAAATCGTGCAACACTTAACTTGGCTTGTTGAGCACAGTGTGCAAGTAGGTGGTTGTGAGGCAGATGAGACATGATAAAATAGAAGAGAGAATTGATGTCCACGGTCATACACTCCGTGTGTTGCTCTAAAATGTTTCGTGAATCTAGCTTAATGGTTGGGCAGGGGTCCGATAAGCCATTGCTCCTCTTATATGCGTTTCACCCAATATGTTCAATTCCGCTTAGGAAAGTAAGCCGCTGGCAATGTCCCTTTCTATGGGCAGAGTTTGGGCTTACGTCAAGGTGACATAGGCCTGTCCTTGAACCAAACAAACAAACAAACTCCACGAACGCCATGAACTTTAAAAAATGGTTGTGGCTCAAAACTAACCAGCTAGGGTTACGCAGGTGGTAGTGTTTGGTTCCATTTACCAAGGTGCCATTCAGAAAGGCCACCTGGCAAAGCCGGCAAACAAAAGCCTCCAATGGCTACTTTGGAAACAGGTGCCCCTGACGTGTAGGGGTGTTTTTTTTTTTGGGTCTTTTTTTTGTGTTTTAATATATATATATATATATACATACATATATATATATATATATCCGCCATATATATATATATGTATATATGTATGTATATATAAATATTTCCGCCCGCAGATCGCTGCTTCTCCCGGCTTTCGGTCTCGCCGTTTCGAGGAGCGAAGCGCTCTGCGATGCCGCCGCGCTGCCCTGGCCTTCAAGGGAGGGGCCCCTCAGTCGACGGGCCGGATCGGATGCGGAGGACAGGTGAGCGTCTTCCATTGGCGTGTTTGCCGTTTGGAAAAATAAAGAGGAACCTATTCCCAGTAGTGAAATCGACTCAATTTGAAAAACCAAGGGAAAATACACAATATTCATTTCAGCAAATGGAGGTTGCTCTGCATGGCGGGCCCCGTTTTGGATGGTTTGGAAGGGATTCCAAAATGAAGCCATCCTCTGCAGTTCCTACAAGATTTGAGAAACAGGTACCAAGACTCGAGTTCTCAGAATGACAGCTGTGATGCCAACTTTCAGCCTTGCAGATCAACGACATGTTAATAGTCGATCAAGCTGCTTTGGATCAGGATTTAGGGCTCTCTTTCATTGGCCTTGAGATTTCCAGACAGATACTTCGATCGCTCGTTGACCTGCCATGCGGGTGCTTCCTATACAGAAGACTTTGCGTAAAGCCCCAGTGGCCTGCATCCTTTGGTTGTGCCATTGGATCAATTCGCGAATTCTTGCAGTTCTCACTCATCCCACCGCGACGTGTGCGCTGCCCAAATCAGTCAAATAGTCTTCCTTCTTTGTCAGGGTTGAAACAATGACATTGTCAACCACAGCCAAAATAAGCAACAAGGGTTGTGGCGCCAGCCGCCTTTTGTCACTGACGGGGATGGTGGTCATTTGCTGAGCCACAGCTGTTTGCTGCTAGGAGGGCAACCCCGCTCAGCGAAATGCGTTCAGGCAGGTCCGAGCGTCTCCGTGCTGTTTTACACTCACACAACGGGGGAGATTCCTATCACAGACATGGGGATAAACCCCTTGATCCCACACCCCTGCAACTGAATGGGTAAAAGCAACAACGAGAATGACCGTAATGATACTTTCCAGCCGGAATTGGACTCGCCCAGGGGCATTGGCCTGTGGTTCATGGTCATGTGTTTTGCTTCAATCATCTCTCCGTATGTTCCTTTCAAGACTTCAGGTGAAGCGGAAGCGTTCGCATCTCGCAATGCTGGCCACAAGTCATCAGGATGGTCTATCTTGCCCACTTGATCTTGCAGCGTTACATTCAGCCAACAGCAAGGATGCACCTTTTTCGACTTCTTGACTGGCACAATAAAAGTATAAAACATCACAAAGTCCAGACATTGGGCCGGGTCGCTCTTCCCCCCCCGAGAAGTGTCGGTTTGATGGAAAAAAACATGCGTTTGCAAAATGCCTAAGCGGCCAAGGGCACCAAAGACCAGCTCATGCACAGACAGAAGACAGCTTCCTACATGGCATGGGTGTAGCCTCCCTAAAGGGATAGCTGCGGAGACAGAATTCCTCTATGCTGCTAACATGCCCAAGGGCTTTGTTTTGTGCCTTTTTGGTTGGTCCTCCGCTTTGTT